ACGTTCTTGTCCTCATCAGCCTGTCTTCACCTGTTGGCGCCTCCAACCATTGAGATAAATCCTCTTGCACAGTAAGCCTGATACTGGAGTTCAAATGTGTTTAACAGACGTGTTCTTCATAGTTATTATCTTCTCCTAATCCCACAGAAGAAGGATTTCTAATTCCTGAACTGCTGTAAAACAAGATTATTTTAGCTGTCAGCCAGGAATGGCCTTTTAATAAGACCTTGTGGCATGTCTTATTTCATCATTATGTGTAGTTCTGGTTTATGAAATGACACGCCAGTAAAACAAGTCCATGTCCTAAAATCCTTGGACAGCGTGATTACTTTTCAGTGTTGTGTGGTATCTCAGAGGAGCAGTAAGAAAATTCCTTGCTGTGAGTTTGGCAAAACATGTCTTAAAATCATATGCAGTTGACCTCTATAATTAACCATTGGCACATTGGTCTGGTCAGGCTAGCCACACATGTACACAGACACATTTGTATGTTGGGTGTGTTTGTTTATTAGTACTCTTTTCCACATGAAGTGTGTAAGCTCCCCACTACGCCTACACATGCTGTGCAGCTTTTTTGTTTGTCTATGCGTTTCTGCATAGCTGGCTTTTTATTGAGCATATCACCCCGAGGCCGATCTGCCAACGCGCTGAAAAAGCTGTTTCTTTTTGTTGTTGAAGTGAAACCGGCAATTCCATATCGAAGTCTGCAGACATGTTTTTCCCCTTTTTTTTATTCTCTTCTTCTGATCCTGTTCGTCTGGTGGGGAGTTGTCATGTTACATTATCTTCAAAATTCCCTTCCTGGTGCATCAGTTGCCTGTTCCAGTAGACTGAGAGATTTAGGCCCCTCCTCCTGCTGATGTGTGGACGTATTCTTTGACCCTATTCCCAAAAACCAAACCAACACACCTCCTGATCAGGCAGTTTTAAATCAGTATGAGGAAGATAGGTCAAATAAGTTAATCGCGGAAGAAATCTAATTTCACTTTTCAGATCTATCATTCACTTCCATATCTAAAAAGCTGTGCACAAAGAATTGTGTCAATACAAATAAATTGCCTGCACTCTTATCTCCATTTTATCGTTTTTATTGTCCAAGCTTTCAGTCAAACGAGAGCCAACAAACACACAGAACAATACACAATGGAGGAAGAGTCATTGTTCAGGACACACCTGCTGTTGATGGAAGACAATAAAGGTTATTTTTGAATTACTTGTATACATTTTATATCACGTAAGTTTACTAGGTTGTAAAGAGTTCAGCCTTAAAATGTTAAAGTTCCCTTCTCCAAAATTGTTCTTTTTTCAGCGTGGCCCTTTCTAGATTGCCATTTTGAAATGCTTCATCCAGTCAGTCAGGATGCATTGAATTTAAAGGCAAACTAACCTAGTTTGAACTAAAACTAGATCCTCTCTCCTAGACTGCCCAGCCTGTCAAACGTGGCAATGTTTTCTGGAGTGACACGATATCACATCAGATTCCTAGGTGTTGAAGCCCAAACTATCACATTAGCTGACTAATGTGTCCCATTTTTAGAGCTGGAAAACGTGTCCAAGTGCAGGGGCAACTAAAATGGCAAAAATCTGGATAAAGAAAAGATTAATCACACATATGTAGGCTTTGGTTGCTCCTAGCAACACAACAAGGATCTGTCATTGTGGCAACCACTGTGCTGACTCACTCGTATCCCAAAAAGGGAAGAACTCTTTCTGTACAAAGTAATCGGCCGGATTCGTCTGGCTAGAACGTGTGGATGATGATAATGGTGTTGGCAGCGATAGATGACCTAGATCCTAACCCTAGTTGTATTGATGGGTGACTCTTCTCTGGGTGTGGGGGGAAAACAAAAGTGAAATGTTATATTGAGTGAGAGAAGACAAAGGATTCAGAAGAAGAATTGAGTGGAAGGAAGAGTTGCCAGTGAGTAAAAGATGAAAAAGAATCATGAAGAGAGACCCTTTAAATCCTAAAAGCCTCTGGTTGATGGATAAGCCAAACACCAGAGCCAAACTACTCAATGTTCTGGAAAAACACCCACACTAGGCCTCAGACATATGGTTGACAGTGGTTGAAAACATGTGAATCATCCACCTCTTAGTTTAGCTTCTGAGTTCATTCTCTTTCCACCAAACCGATGGACCATTGGGATCAAGTAAACACCGTTTAGTGCCAGTTGAAGTCAAGAAGAAGCTGTTTAGGGAAGAAGCGAACTATGAAGTTGCCATTGGAGCTCCCCATTGGGTCAGACCTTTACATTTTTGTCAGATCTTCTTAACGTTCTTCAGCAGAGCTCTTGACAGGGTGGCTCTTCGTTGGGTGGTGTCGAATACACCCTTCTGAGAACACTTGTATCATCACCCTGTACTGTTAGAGCAGGGTTATTTTCTCGACATACAGGAAGGAGATTAACTCACACCATGTTGCCTTCTCACTTCCCTCCTATGCCAGCTGCGATGATGTTTGTCCACACGTTTCTCTCTGATAAGGGGAGTGTGTTCAGCTAAGACCGGATGCTTACTAAGTTTAGCTACATAATTAGCATATATATATATATGATTTAAAAAAAACTTTTTTGTGGAGGAGGAGTTGGTTTTTATTGGTTTGTTGTTTCCTCTTTTTGAGTTTTGTCGGAAAACTGCTTCTTCCCCATCATTTCTTGTGATATCGTGGTCCTATTAATTCAGTGATAAGTAAAAACAGACCTACAATCAGCATTACTACCCTGCAAATGGAAACAAAGTCTCCGATAAGATTTGGGCTTTTTTCAGAGCATCATGATTCATGGCAGTTTGGGAATTATCTCTTAACTGTGGAATCAAATGAATATCTCAAATGCACTCACAGTGGAGGACTTGCACTCTAGTTTCACATGCTGCCAACATTGGTTTGTTCGCCTCATTTGGAAAACTTTATCAATGCCCTCTTTTTATATTAAGAGCCTATTGTATTCTGGCAGGTTAAAAAAACATGACAGAAGTCAGTGCTCTGTCATCCCTCTTAATTCAAACAGATGTTTCCCGTCTGTATGGGAAAAACCTTTGGGAGAAATTATGTATGAGTAACTTTGCCTGTTGTGAAATATTGATCTTCTTTTTTTCTGTCAGTTTTAACAATCCACTGTCTTATGTCCTTGTAAGAATTCAAATCGGCTTTGCATCATTTTTTTGTAATATACACGAGAGCAGTGATTCTCAAATGGGGGTACGCAGACCCCTGGGGGCACGTTGGGGTACTGCAGGGGGTGCGTGAGATTTTTTTAAAATTTTTAAAAAAAAGTTTATTAAAAAAATACCATGCTTGATTAAAAAAATAATCTTAGTACAATAAGTTAAATAGAAAACACAATTTTATATAAAAATATTCCTAGAACCACCAAGGGGGTCCTCATATAAACATATCAATTGTGTGTATTGCATTTTATAGTTTTTCACAATATATAATTTTGTTCATTGGTTTGTTAAACATATTACTTAAATTGAAAAACTCATTGGAAAAATCTGTTTTATAAAAATGTTATGTTGTTTTTTTTTCATGCATGAAGATGAAAATATCCTTAGTTTGTTGTAATGCATGCACGAAGGAGTTCATAAATCACACACTGAGGGAACATCACTATATTGTAATTATGGATATATAGGGGCTTTTTAATCCAAAAAGATTGTTCGGGGGATCGGTCCCAGTGGGTACCTGGCTAGAAAGAAAAAATTTCAAAGGGGGTACATTACTGAAAAACGTTTGAGAAGCACTGCACTACAGCTTGTCTGCTCTCAGGCCTACAATACTATTAATGTCACAGTTTAAAATTAGACTCGATATTGTCCAGAGAGGACTGTACTGCTGGACAACGCATAAATCCACCAGTGTTGTTGATCCCCCTCGCTCTGGACTGAGTGATACTTGAAGGCTATACAGTGAAACAGAGACAGACCTCAGTGCTGCTCCAGATCCCTGTGGCATGAAAGGACTCCTCTGTTGGCTCTGGTCGCTGACTCCTTCCCCCCCGAGAGACCATCGTTTTACTGGTCTACCCTCAGCAGACATTGCAGCCTTTCATCTCTCAGAGGAAGGGCAGCTGCTCCTGGGCTGCTCTCCGCTTCTCAAAAGTGAGGATTTTTTTATTTTATATACTTTATTAATACCCGTGGGGAAATTGTTTCTCTGCATTTGCCCCATCGTAGTGTTAGGAGCAGTGGGCTGCCATTTTGAACGGCGCCCGGGGAGCAGTGTAGGGAACGGTGCCTTGCTCAGGGACACCTCGGAAGCACTTGGTCTTGCCGGGACTTGAACTGGTGACCTTCCAGTTGCCAAGCCAAGTCCCTATCGACTTCGCCACCACCGCCCGTTTTGCTGCTTTTCTCTGTTTTTATTTTTTGAATATCTGGATCTTGGATGTTGGTCAGACAAAACAAGAGATTTGAAAACATCAGTTGACCTTTTGGAACACTTGAACTCAAACAATTAAACCTTCATTTTATATTTTTGTGAGATATAAACAAGAAACTTTACATCTTTGAGCCGTAAACAGGATCAAAACCCAACTGTTAGAATTCAGTAACACGTTTATATTATTATTCTGAGCCAGTAGTGTTCAAGGTTTTCTAATGCATATTTATTAAATTAATTCATTTGTATAAAGGGGACTGGCTAATTAATGGAACATTGGTGCAATTTCAGTAGGAAAACACTGTGCTTTCGAGGAGTATAAATAATGCATCACAATTTGGCTCTAGCATTTTGAAAAAAGGGAGATGAAAGAGAGTCCTTTTCTAATAATAGACATCTGGGAGGATATGACTTTAATACACAATGACTTTTGATGTTTGAATGCAGGGTTCCTTTCCGCCAAATGTCTTCTACAATCTAGATTCAGTAGTCAATAAACTCATCTCATCAATTCTTCTTTGAGGTCACAAATATATGTTCAGAAACACATGCTTCATCCATTATTGGTTTCAGGCTCTTCCATTTACCACAATCAATGTTATTAGTGTCCGGGGCAATGGCTGTTGTAAAAAGATTACGACCTCGGTGATGAAAAGCACGGCCTCATGATTAAATTAAATCTTCTTAAGACGCTATATGACGAGTATATTGAATCCCAGAGGACCTTTTTGTGCCGTACCATCGATCACATCTTCTGTCTTCGCTGTCATTTACAGACGGTGGACATCCATAAAGAGAAAGTGGCCAGGCGGGAGATCGGGATCCTGACCACCAACAAGAACACGTCGAGGACCCATAAGATCATAGCGCCGGCTAATATGGAGCGGCCTGTCAGGTACATCAGGAAGCCTGTTGACTACAATGTATTGGATGACGTCGGCCATGGTGTCAAGGTGAGTGTTCCAGACTTTTGGGGTGTTTTTCTCGACTTTTAGATCTGCTACCTCATCAGATTATTGCCCACTCCATTAGTTATTCTGCTTCTGTTCTTACACTATGTCTCATGTTCTTCCCTCCCCCCTTCCTCTCTTCCTTGCCGGAGGTTTGCCTGGTTTTCTGGCTCACACTCCATCTCTTTCATCTTCGGAAAGCACCCCTTCTGACCCTACAGGAATACGTTTCAGTGTGGGTTGGTGGGAACTGGTCGGGGGTGGAGATGAACTAAAAAAAGTGATTACATCATCTAGCTTTCAGAAAACGGCCCTATTCTTAGCATGATCTGTAAACGGGCGAGCGGAGGACAGATTTGTGAGACGTTTTTAAAGGCACTTAGGCCTCGGACCGTCCTCGTAATCTCGTTCTCTAGTTTCTCTTAGCAGACGAATGATGTTGTTAGAATTCGATTTGTAGTTTATTTTCACATCAGTGCAATCTAAAAGGCTTGGGGAGAAGCTGATTTTGATGTGATACACTCTGATAATCCAAGTGTGACATTTTAACTCCCACTCTGCCATTAGAGCTCACGTTAGCGGTCACTGGGTCATCCTTATGGTGGTGGTAATGACATCATTTCCTGATGGCCAAAGGCATTTTTGCGACCTCTCTACCCTCCCCCCTGAGCGTTCTCTCCCCCATCAATCAGCCAATCAATTGCAACTCTCAGATAGATCTAGTTAGAGGGCCGCCATTACCGTACCGCCGCGTTACGGGCATTAAAGGCAGGATAAAAGCCATTGTGTCACTCTCAATTGACTGTGTACTGTCATGGTGGGAGGATGGGGTGTAACATATTTTTATGTGGGTGTGTTCCCATCAAAGGGGTCATGTTTACACTGCTTATTAATGTTCAAATTGTACTTCAAATAGTTTGAAGATGTTTTATGACATACATGAACTGTTGCTTCTTTTATAAAAGAAAGAGGTGTTATTTTAATAACTATTAATTCCCTCTTTTTCTAAAAAGGGACTCATGTCTTTATGCTAAATCTGAAGCTAGATTAGGGATGTTAGCTTAGCATAAGGCCTTAAATCATGAAGCTATGACTAAACTGTCCAAAGTTCCAACAGCAATTCAAAAAACAGTTACTATCACCATTTCTCACAGCCTTCTCAAGGAGGCTAACGAGAGAGTTACAGTAACTAGATATAAAAAAAATACTTGAGTTTAAAAAAAACACAATGTATACATTAGTCTTCATCAAAAGCTTAAATCAACAGATTATGTAGTTGACAAAACAATCTCACGACCTATTTAGCAGCTACTCTGATGCTTTTTATAATCTTGAATGGTCTATATATCCTGTTCATTTCTAAGAACATATTGTTTATATGCTCACAGGGCAAAAAACCAGCAGAATCCCTGTGAGGCTCGTGTGAGTCATCCACATTCCTGACTCTACTGTGTTAGAATAAACAAAAGAGCTTCTAAAAATCAGGATAGCAATACGTCATCGCTCAATAGTGTCAAATTACTGAAACCATCGTGCTTCATGGCTGCTTTGAGAGTGTCTGATGCATCTATTAAAAGAACATTGCATATTACTCTGGGCCTAATCCCAGTAGATTCTTTATTCTTAAATTTGGTATGTGAATGTGACGGGGAACTCACACACAGATACACACTTATATCACTCACCTCCTTTCATCTATGCATGTCACAGCCCAAAGAGCCAATCAATATTTTACATCAATACTTCATATTCATTCATATAGTATGCCACGATGGCTGCTGTCAGATACCCGACTTGTATAGAATATCTATAGCCATGGTTTACTTACTGACCAGGATCAATACTTGAATGGGAGTTTAAATCATGTCCATTGCCTCCAGTTAACTGTGAAGCGCTTTGCATGTGCCTGAGTGTTTACACTGGCGTACATTTTGAATTGGTTTTACGGCCTCACACAATGTTTGTACAGTTAAACACCACGGCGTGAGCTCTAGTGCAGAGAAAAGACAATAAAGTGCTCACATAAATGATTTAATAGAAGCTGTTCTCAGATCCAAAGTAGCAAGAAGATGGATTGAGAGAATAAAGACTTTCAAATTCATCTGATAGATAATCTTCTCTTAGCGTCACATCAATAATAAATGAAATGTCTTTAGTTGACCGATCAGGATGTTTTCTCAAGGCATTTTGACAGTGGCGTGATGTTTGAGCTTCAAAGATAATTCATTCTTCCAGTCAGCTGATGTTTAATCTAGTCAACTGGGACGATGTCAGGTGTTTGACAGCATTACTCGGACATGTAGTGTTTTTTCGTTTATGAGTTTAAAAGGTTAGTTTAAAGGGAGAGACGGTGAAACAGTTCAGCATTGGTGTCCGTTTGTAGTGCAGCCACAACAAAAATCAGATTTGATTTTCTACACAGTGATAGAAATGTTTCCATAGAAAGCACTGTAAAAACAGATGGTTACCTCCACCTAACAACTTACTGTGGCTGCTTGTTCTTATTGTTCCTCTTACACCTGTCCAAAAATGCCAAAGAATACTATTATCTTGTTCTTGAGATGACTAACTGAAGGGTCAAATACACAGTGATTCATTCATACCATGTTAAATACAGTAATATTGGATCAGATTCATGTTTAGTTTCCTGTAAAGCCCTTGTGTGTAGCCAGTCAATTACAAGATCAATTAGTAGAGAGCATATCAATATTTAATTACGATTGGCGAAAAAAAGGGTTTCAACTAATGTAAATCAATAAAAAGAGGTTTACATTTTAAACATACTTGCTAATTGATTACCCAATAATCAAATAATGTATGAGCTGATGGCAAGTGTGAGTTTAAGATTTATAATCTGAGTTAAAACACAAACAAATTCAACATTAGCAACTGTCATGTGTCACACCAGCAAGAAAAGTCAGATGTGCAAACACATTTGTCATCTTTTCAGATTATTTTTTGGGATGTATCCTTGTCAACAAACCCAAGCTCAGGGGGTGCATCCCTTTTTAAGTGAAAGATTACTTGCTAATCAAGCCACTTTGACAGACTTCATTGCTTTAGATTTTCACCCCAGCTCAGCAGGCTAAGCCTTTTTGGACTTGATAATGAACGTAATCTGAACCGGAGTCCGTCCCATGATTCAACTTTTGAAATAATTCAAGCATTTCCACGCTGTCATTCTGGTTTCTGAACAGATACAGCTTTAGCCGGGAAGATAAGAGAATGCTGTAGTAGGCTTTTACCTTCCTAGCATGACCTAGATTGAAAATTGAATCTCGTCTGGCTCTGATAACCCGGGGAGAGTGAAATTTGAATGGGAAATGTACCATTCAGAGCTTTACTCTCTTTTTAAAGAGGCAGAAAGCTCTCTTCATGCTGACCTTTGCCAGGAATGTGCTTTTGGTTTCATCTTCACGCTTTCACTGTGGTCTTGTGATGCTACAATGCTTTCTGCAAAGGCCACTAGGGAAGCTGCATTATAGATGAGCCACTTGACTCGGCAGTTGTCAAACCCCACTGTTATGTTGGCTTTATATTCTCTTTGACAACAGCCCGACCAAGTACAAAGGTGTTTTTAATCGCTGCGGGTGATGTGATAATCTCAAATTGAATCTAAACATGGATATGTACAAAAGAAAATATGAACCAATGAATGCCTAGTAGACTTAAAATCCATATATATATGCAACAAACCTTTGATTTACGAAGATAAATTCACTTTCAGATCGAGATCAAATGTGTTTTTGATTGGGCACAATAGCTTTGCCAACAGATCCCAGTGATTTGCTTGTAGTTTGACTGGTACTGGGTGTGGCACTGTATGTCTGAGGAAAAAGAGCAGCAGGCAGGAGCTGGTAGAATGACCTGCCTGGGCCTTGCTAAATGTTTACTCAGTGTAAATACCACTTTTTTTGCTCGCTTGTACTTTGACTTCTACTGATCCGTTTGGACATGGCCATTTTGACATGCCCTGTTTCTGTCTCTTTCTCCTGTTTTTTCTCCTTTGCCTTCAAAAGTGGCTAAAAGCCAAGGTAAGTGTGGTTGTCACATGACCCATTTTACTAGAATGTAATATTGATAGATCCCAGTTCAACTCCCTTTCACAACAAACCCCTGTATGTGTAATCATTATTGTCATTTCCCATGTTGTTCCCTTTAACAGACTTGTACTGTAGTCCTCTTCTCCCAGAACACCCTGCTTGTCACTGTACCAACTGTGTGTGTTGTCCTTTACATGTTGTGTAGTTGTCTATAAATGTTCTATAGATTATTCAAAATCCTTATAGGCTACCCAGACAAAGCTTAACTCGTATCCTTATGTGTGTAATAAAGTATTGCAGAAAATGTATGTGTAATTTGAAATACTGCAAAACCAGATGTTGCTAATTTTAAAGCTTTAGTTATTTGGTGTTATGCGAGTAGCCTGGTTGAAACAACGCAGAGGTTTCTAACTTACAATTAGCAGCAAGAGTTAAACATAAGCCAAGGTGGCATTACATAACTCTTCAAACATTACCAACTGAAATATACATCTGTGTGTCGAAGAGTCTTAATCTGGGCAGCCTATAACATTTTATTTCTGTCACATAAGTGCCTGAAGTCATTTGTCTGTTGAATACGTGTTTTTTCTTCTTGCCACAGCAACATGGAAACAATCAGACTATCAGAGGAGGAACACTATCGCGGACCAATCCGCCCACGCAGAAGCCTCCGAGCCCTCCCATGTCAGGGCGTGGCACGCTCGGGTAAGGATTTCATTCAGTCGCCACGAAAGGACGGCTAATCCTCTAATTATAAAACACTGAACATTTCAAAGTTGATGTTGTGGGGGCGACACAAGAACATGCAGTTTTAAGTACATGTTGCATTTATTTAAGATTATTTTTGGGCATTTGTGCTTTCTTTTATGAATGAATGTTTGGTGAAGAGTAACATTTAAAGAAGACCGCCCACACCGAGCTAACATCATGTGGTCGTGATGTGGTTTTGGCTTGGAAAGTATTTGAAATGACAACATTCAAGTGAGTGAAGCCATAAAAAAAGGCTCAAAAGGCATTCTTGGAACTATGTGTCAGTGTCAGGCCTGATGAAGCATGTCATCGTCTGATGCACAGCGGCAGTAATGAGATATTAATTTCCCAGGGTAAACTGTGCCTCACCTCCAGCCTTTAGCTCGCTGCATCCAGCTGGGTAAACTGATAGGATGGACTACAGTCTACTGAACACGGCCTTGCAGTTCTGATAGCAGATTGAATTATGATCATTCCTGTCCTTGATTCATTATGTCTTTCCATCTTTGCAGACGCAACACATCCTACAAGACCCTGGAGCCAGTGAAGCCTCCCACAGTGCCCAACGACTACATGACCAGCCCTGCCCGACTGAACAACCAGCAGGGCCAGCAGAGCCCCGGACGCACGGCATCACTCAACCAGAGGCAGCGCACACACAGGTAGATAACACACAGAGACACACAGTATGTCTACAGCAGGGTCGGCTTCATTTGATGTGGCCCGCAAGAGCTTGCAAAGAATATAATACGTTTAATATACGGTTACATGCCGCTTTACCGAAGCACGTTGTACATAAACTACATGTCCCACAATGCATCTCATTTCGTGACATTCGATATATTTTATACATATGTATATTTCTTAAAGTTATAACCGGCCCTTTGAGTGCAACCATAATGCTTAATGTGGCCCGCGATGAAATTTAGTTTGACACCCCATGTAGTTGAAAAGTATTTAAAGTCCAAAATACAAAGCAGCCAGACATACAAAAGTCATTATGAT